TTTAGAATTTTGTATTTTTCTTCAGTGTCTCATATGAGTTGGGTCATATCAACTTAGAAGACGCGAAAAAATGGTTTAACGATGTGTTGAAACCAGGGGGATGTTTTCTAGACGAAGTAAGTATGTTAACTCATTACTTGTATTATTCGATTATCTTGTATATAACTATATATTCAACTCTCAGCATGTTGACATGGCATTGCATTTGTTGCGAGCTCGGGCAACCAAATATTCCAAGTCATTTGGTGGTTCGCGAGCTGTTTTGGATGTGCAATTTAATAACCTCTTAACCTTTACTATGCTTGATTTACGTGAGCGAAGAGATCATTTCAGAATTCCAGTAGAGCTAATGGAGTATATCACCGGGACAAGGCTATCATTTGGAAGGAAATGTTAGGAACATATAGGGCTGGACAAAACTCTCGAACCGAACCGAACCCGACGGTTCTTCTCAAATTAAATACCTGAACAAGTATTTAAATCAAGAACCGAATTTCCTTAATTTTTGAATTTATTTATTTTAAATAAGCAAAATTATTTTATTTCTTCTAAATAAATTTGTTAACTAGTTAATTTAGTTCAAATCACAAAATCTGATTTTTCTATTTCTAATTTTCGGTTCAAAATCAACTTAATCAAATTGATTTCAATTTTATCCAAATTTGTTACTCTATTGTAGTGTCGTTTTTACTGGAGAAAATCGAATTAAAACTCTACAATATCTCTCTTAATTATTTTGAACTCCCTATCTTTCTCTTCTTGTGATTTTAATAGTCAAATTTATGAAAAATTTAGCAAAGAGAGATATAAAAGACACATAAGATTGGACTACGTTATTTTGTGAGAGCTAATATTGAATATATCATTAATTAAATTAATTTAACTTTGTATATATTAAAAAATTTAATTATAATACGGAACCGAACAGGACCGAACCGAACCCGAACGGTTTTATAATTAAATTTGGACCCGACGGTTCCACTTACTAAATACCCGAAAATTTCAGGTCGGTTCGATTCTCGTTAGAACCAAACTGAACCGGACCATATCCAGCTCTAGGAATATACACATGTATATTTTCTGTTATGTACTCACAGACATTGGCTCGCAATTGAGGTAGACTTCAACAAAGCAACAATTTGTGTGTATGATCCTGATAAGGGTTGCATTACGAACGATCAACTCAAAGATGACTTGAAGGCTGCTAGTATCATTGTCCCTCTACTTTTGAAGGAATTCAACATTGATTTGGAGACAGGTACTCTGGCCATAGAAAGGAGTACAAAAACAACTAAACAAGCCATTTTGTAAGTTTTTTTCTTTTTTAATTACAATTTAATATTTACTTGTTCATATTAATTTAGTTATATCGTTACCATGATTTATTGTCTTTCAGGGGCGATTGTGGTATGTACGTAGTAAAATATATAGAATTCTTGAGCATCAACGGTCCAATAGAACAAGTTAATGACTTCTATATGAACAGATGGAGGGAAAAGATGGCTGCCGATATTTTTGTCCTTGATTATGAACCTTAGGACATTTTGGTGTATTTGTATGTTTATGAGTTTTGAATGTAAATATAATTTTATAGTTTATGTTGAACGTGGGGTTTTTTTATGTTATGAATAGAAGTTTATTTTTCAGGTTGATATAATTTATATTATGAGGGAGATAATGTCGTTTTTTTTTTAAATGTTGATGTTATGAATAGAAGTTTCTTTTTCAGGTTGATATAGTTTACATTATGAGAGAGATAATGTCGATTTTTTTTTAAATGTTGGTTGTTTAATGTTGTCATTCTTCTAACTGACTATAGTCGTTTAAAAGATTTCAGCCTTCTTGAAAAGAACGACTGTAGTCATTTAAAAAGATTTGTAGTCATCTTCAATCTTCTTCACTCTAAATTCAAAGTTGTACTTCATTGCAAGCATGTGAACTTTCATCATAAGATCTATTTTTGTGTTGAAAATTTGGCAATCTTCTAAATCTTCATCTTCGGGAATCACTTGTGATGTAAGAATTGAAGCTACCAGGTGTTCATTTGTAAAACGATTTTCTTCTCTATTCTTTTGAAGTATCTTAGATCCATCTGTAGAGAAAACAACAACGTTACCGTTTTTAGTGATAATATCAATGTTATCGTCTCGGGCTATCTCTAACTCATCCCAATCAATAATCTCAGTCCGATCCACTTCATTGTCATCATTTGCTTGCATTTCACAAAGAAGATTATCACCTTCATTTTGTATTTCACAATAAACTTCATTGTTTTCCACTTCATGAAATGAATCGTCATCTTCTTCTTGTCTATGCTTGACTGAACATTTGCTTACAAGGGTTACACAAATGGGACGGTGATCTTTTTTGTTGAGAGATAGCAAACATTGCACATGCTTGTTTGAAGTAATTTTAATTGGAACTGTAAACTGACCATTTCCAGGGAGGAGAAATCTCATCTCAACTTCATGTAAAGATGAATCAACTTTGCAAAGATTTAGCACTTCACAATACAGATCATGATATGAAGTATTTGAAGATATTGGAACTCCTTCCACCACTTCATCACTCCCACTTCGTTTCCATGTACAATTTCCTTGATTGTCATTAACAAAATCACCAAAATAAAATGTAGAAATCCATATTGTTGAGTCCATATCTGTAATTAGAATAGCAAAAATTTAGAATGTTAGCATTTACTCATTCACAGTAATATAAAAGTTATTAAAGTCGTTTTCATGGTCATCTTAAACGACTGTAGTCATTTTCAGTCATTTAAAATGACTATGTGGTCGTTTAAAACGACTACAATCGTTTAATACGTCAACAATGAATTTGTAGCTAAAAAGTATACGAGATTTTGCTTTCAAAACCACTTGAGATCGAAAAATACATTCAAAGAATTAAATAAACACAATTGACAATGAATATATGTAAAAATAGTTTAAAAAAAATATCTTACCAGCATAAAATGCATAAATGTAAGGGTTTCTTCTTTGATGTGCTTCTTTATACTTCAATTAAAATTAGATTGAAAGAATAAAGAAGAAGTAGAAGATTATAGAAGAAGAAGAGGAGGAGAAATATGAAATTCCATAGAATAACAAATGAAACTAACTATTATAATTCTTATTTGAAAAATGGGTATTATAGTCATTATATACTAAGGGCATTTGGGATATTTCAATAATATGACAGGGATAATTTGGACATTTTAACCTAAGAAAGGCCTCAAAAGCATTTTTATCATAAGTTAGCCCTCAAAAAGTTTTACATCCCTTGACTAGGCCTTTTGTAAAAATACCCCTACAAACTAGGTGATGGCTACATACACCAATCAATCTTTTGACCCATTGTCCATGTCCATACTTCAATGGTCGTGCAAATGCCCTACATGTATAGACAACCTCGATGGGTGGGCTAATGGATTTTTTTTAAAAATTATTTACCACGATCACTTGAACATGATATACACTTGAGTCGGTACATGGCCACGTATACGTAATCTACCCATAAGTCGGTACATTGGGACACAAATTTACTTCAAAATTATTATTATATCACATGAAATGTGTATTTAAAATTAATTATTGACTTTGAATTAAATTTTTATCAAGTTTTTAAGTTACATCGATCAGAGGTTTAATTGTATGTTTGGGAAGTGAGTATGACTTAATCATTTTCAATCAAATGTACCTTTTCATTTTTGTTTACATATTTTTTGTAGGAAATATGGTTGCTGAACACTTCTTATTTACACATTTCATAAGACTTACAATTTATAATTACTTAAATTTTAACTTCATCATGTCTTAAACATGTATAAGTTAGATATTTCGATCTTACTACACAAGTGAAATGAGTACATAAACAATGAGTCCCATTTTTTCAAGAATGTATTTTTTCAAATCTCATTTTTATATAGATATTTTAAAAATTTTTCTTTACTTTTTAACCACCCATTTTAAAAAAAATCACCATACCATAATGTAATTTACCTTAGAAATTGGGATCAAATAGGGGCTAAATGTTACCCAAAAGAAGAGAAAGAACACAATTACATGGCAAATATGTGACTATTCTATAGCCCTGTTTGACCTTATTCTCATTATTTTATTCTCTTTTATTTTCAACCACACAATATTCGTAAAATAATATTATATTCAAATAAAAAAATTTCATTCTTTTTCAATCATATACTTCTAAAAAATACACTATTTCAACCATTAAAATTTGGAAAGAATGAGGACTAAACAGGGGCTATGACTCTCTCCATCAAGATAGAAAATAAAAAGTGATTTAAAGAAATTAACTCGCTGCCCTACTCATTTTTAATGAAAGAGTAAATTTCGTAGAAGATGTAACTATCCAAATTCGACCGACTCATCTAGTTTTGTAAAGTCTAGGACTTGTCTCTTTGATCACGAAATTGTTTTACGGACAATATAAACTATAAAGTGAAAAGTAGCCCTCGGGGCATAGTCAGTGATACAAAGGACATGAGTGATATTATCTCACATCTTGCTGACAGTCACAGTGTGAAGGTTTGATTCCTAAGATATGAAATTAGACTCCTTGTAGGTACAGTGTACATGCAACTCTTATTTCCCGACCTGCTGGAACACATCATGCGATTTATCTTTTTCACAAAGCTCTAAACAGGGGACGGTGGAGGTCCTCAATATTGGTTTTTATTTATTTTTTTGTATAAAGTGAAAAGTATGTTACTAGAGAGGGAAAAAATGAATAAAGGAAAAGCTAGCCATTCATGATGCAAGCCTTTGAAAGATAAATATCATAAACATTGGCCGACTACTATTTGATATTTCTCTGTACGTAAACCTGCTGGAACACATCATGCGATTTATCTTTTTCACAAAGCTCTAAACAGGGGACGGTGGAGGTCCTCAATATTGGTTTTTATTTATTTTTTTGTATAAAGTGAAAAGTATGTTACTAGAGAGGGAAAAAATGAATAAAGGAAAAGCTAGCCATTCATGATGCAAGCCTTTGAAAGATAAATATCATAAACATTGGCCGACTACTATTTGATATTTCTCTGTACGTACATTCGATTTCTTTATTAGCTCAAAACCTAAATTATTTATAAATTGAATGATTCAACACTGATTTCGGGACCGCCGATAGTCTCCGGCGATGGAACCACCAGTCCTTTTGGAAGACTTCGGTCAGAAGGTGGATCTGACGCGTAGGATCCGAGAGGTGCTATTGAATTATCCAGAGGGCACCACCGTGCTGAAGGAGTTGATACAGAACGCCGATGATGCCGGCGCCACCAGAGTCTGCCTCTGCCTTGATCGGAGGACTCACGGGACCCACTCCCTACTATCTGACAAGCTCGCCCAGTGGCAGGGTCCGGCGCTGTTGGCGTACAATGATGCTGTTTTCACTGAGGAAGATTTTGCTAGTATTTCGAGGATTGGTGGTAGTGTTAAACACGCCCAGACTTGGAAGACTGGTCGGTTTGGGTAATTCCCTAACTTTCATTTACTCGAAGTTTTGTAAATGTCAAGTGTGAAAGTACTTTTATAATTTCAGATAAATTATTCATATTTGCACAGCATAACTATTCTTCTGTCGTGTGCATGTGTTACTGTTGATCATATCTAGTTGGCTTGGAGAAAAGTTTTAGGATTCATTTGGGATGTGGTTTAAAATGTGCTAACATCCATCTGGAAGTAATGTATGTACAAGACATAGCGGTGTTCTACTCATGCCTCTTTGTATTGCACCATGAACATTTCCTTTTGAATCTTTGATGGTGGTTATAGCCGACGATTTTACTTGGAAAAGCGTGTAGTTTTATGTGCTTGTGTGTATTTTATTAGCCACTCATTTTGTTTGTCTTGTATGCTGACTTTAGGGTTAGACTGTTGCGTTTTATGATGTAACACCCCAAATTTTCATAAACTTAGAGGGTTACCAAAAACTCACTTTTCTTTATTAAAACCAGAATGATGAAATAAAATTCTTTAGTAAGAAAAAAAATATATACCCGAAACATTCATAACTTAAATTAAATCATGGAAATTATATCTTTAAAAATAAATATAATCAGCTAGCTAATTAAATAATATGTCCTTGAACAAATTAAACTAACTAATAAATTTAAAGATAGGAAAATTTAATGTTTATTTATTTATTTATTTTTGATCCACTCAACAGTTCACATCACCATCTTGTCACAGATCCAACAGACTAGCACTAACCTGTAAAATTATTTTAAGAGTGAGTATTTAAAAACACTTAGTAAGATACGTACAGTTTTCATACATAATTATATAACAATCAATTTAAACACTTAATACCATTCTTCTCTTATGGAGTATATCGGTGATCAAGCGACACATCCATTTTAGGTCATCTCAAATTCTCGAAAGTTTCATATCTCTTTATAAAAAACTTGGATGTCCACTGGCAATTCAGGCATAATAACTGTATAAAGATATACGAAAACAAATTACTTGCACATAAGTGTCTTACCTCGTTATTGAAAATGTTGAAAAGAAGATAAAATCGTGTGCGTAAAAATTCTCCTATTATTTTTCAATACTTTTTCCTCTCCTTCTCTCCGCCATGGCTTTCTATATTTCCTGTGATGAAATAATGTGACTTTTTATAGCATTTATAATTGAAATTCTCCCTCGAGTTTGTATGCAACTAGAATTGGAAAATTATGTAATAGTAGGAATTTGGATAAGAATTGGCTTCAAATAATATAATTGCTATTATATCATATTAATGGTTTTCCTAATTAAACTAATCAACCAATCCTAATCATCTAATTGAATTTATATCAAAATAGGAAACGTAAGTTAATTTGAAATTGGTTCCATTTGACTTAGTATACTAGTGTTAGAATTGAAGTAATGAAAAGTAATGACATTTTAATCAAATTAGGATTACAATTAACCATGATCAAAATTAGAATTACAAGTCTCTCTCTCTCCCCTAATCCAAATTAAAAAGTTATCTATACACATGGCCATCTACAACTTTAAAATCAATAACCAACTTTATTAAATACTAATAATTAATAATTTCTTTAAACTTAAATATCTGGGGTCTAACTTATCCGAATTAAAATTTCTCTAGTTGAAAATTTCTAATTAATTACAAGTTACAAAAAGTGTCTAATATTGATATATTAAAACTTGTTTTTATCAAAATCTAATTATTCGATCCAAAAAAATATGAGAATTTAAAATATATTTCACTTTATTCCCTCAACTTTTCAAAATTATGAAAAGGTGCCCTAAGAATTTTGGGATGTTACATATGATGTTTGGCGGTTCAGTAACGAAGAAACTATCTATACAATTCGGCATTATTGCCTATTTGTTCCAATGGTTGTAATGTTTCCGAGCTATCACTTTCCCTTTGAGGAGAATGTTATGTAGTGATTTTTACTCGAATTAAACCTTTTGAATTAAACATGCTAGAACATGGTTATGGCCTTTTTGGCTTACTGTTCGAGGCAGCAGCACTCGCCTGCCACTCCATGGGTTGTACATATCCACTAGCATCAACTCCAGCTTGTTTGCACGTGTTTGCAAATGTTGATATCATGTTCAATGGAATTAAATATTTATCGAGACTAGTCGAGCAGATATTTAAGTGATTGATTATATAACTACTAAATAGGATAATTACAAACTGTACAAATTAATCCCAAGATTAATGGTACTGTACTATATTTAGAATTGTAGAACTAGAAAGTTTGACTTTTGTTAACACTCCCTCTCAAGTTTGGGGTGAAAATATCTTTCATTCCAAGATTGTCTGGTATCCTATGAAGTGAAGCACTAGGTAGTCTCTTTGTAAGAATATTAGCAAGTTGCTCTCCGGTTAAAACATACGACATACATAACAATCCGCTTTCCAATTTTTCCTTTATGAAATGACGATCTATTTCTACATGCTTTGTGCGATCATGTTGTACTGGATTATGAGCTATGTTAATAGCCGATTTATTATCGCAGTAAAGTTTCATGGTTCTTTTCCAATTGATTCCCAAATCATCTAGGATAATCTTTAGCCATAGAAGTTCACAAACTCCCAACGCCATAGCACGAAATTCAACTTCTGCGCTTGATGTTGCTACCACTGCTTGCTTCTTACTTTTCCAAGCTACAAGATTTCCTCTAAAAAAAAGTGCAATGTCCTGAGATTGATCTTCTATCCACTACGGAACCTACCCAGTTAGCATCTGTATAAGTCTCAGGACTGAGTGACGCACCTTTGTTGTAGAGAATTTCCTTTCCAGGTGTTCCCTCTAGATATTTCAAAATCTTGTATACAGCCTCTAAATGTTGCTCTTTTGGTGAGTGCATGAATTGACTAACCACACTTACCGCAAATGCTATATCTGGATGGGTACGTGATAGATAGATTAGTCTTCCCACCAGCCTTTGAAATCTCCTCCAGTCTATTAGTACATCTCCTGATTCTTCTCCTAGCTTGTGTGACCTATCAATTGGTGTTTCTGAAGGTTTACACCCGAGCATCCCTGTTTCTTGAAGTAGATCCAGAATACATTTTTGTTGGGAGATAAATATACCTTCCTTGGAATATGCTACCTCGATTCCCAAAAAGTACTTCAGTTCTCCTAACTCTTTAATTTCGAATTCTGCTGCCAGCTTCTTCCCTAGTCTCCAATCTCACAAGGATCATCAAGAGTTATAATAATATCATCAACATACACAATTAAAATTGTAACTTTATTCTCTTTTAACCTTTTTATGAAAAGGGTGTGATCTCCTTGAGATTGCTTGCATTTTTTTCATTGCTTGTGTGAATCTCCCAAATCATGCTCGTGGAGATTGTTTCAACCCATGCAGAGCTTTCTTTAGTCGACAAACAGTTCTTCCTCCAAAAGATTCACTAAAACCTGGTGGTGCCTCCATATAGACCTCCTTTTCCAAATCTCCATGTAAGAAGGCATTTTTCACGTCGAACTGTAGTAGAGGCCAGTCGAAATGAGCTGCTATGGATAAGAGTATCCTGACTGTATTCATCTTTGCCACGGGAGTGAAAGTCTCCAAATAATCAACTCCATATGTTTGAGTGTATTCTTTAGCCACTAGTCATGCTTTATACGTTTCCAGAGATCCGTCCGCTTTATACTTTATTGTGTAAATCCATTTGTATCCTTCAAGTTTCTTTCCCTTTGGTAATTCGACTTGATCCCATGTTCGATTTCTTTTAAAGGCTGTCATTTCTTCTGCCATTGCCTTTTTCCATTCTTCATGCTATAGGGCTTCATCCACAGTCCGAGGTATTTTATCCAGTTGTAGCTTTGTGAGAAATGATCTGTAAGATGGCGAGAGATTCTCAAAGAAGATAAAGTTAGCAATAGGATGTTGTGTGCACTTTCGAGTTCCCTTTTGAATTGCAATAGGAACATGAAAATCAGTCAAATTTGTACATACCTCTTCATTACTTGCTAATCGTTCACAAGACTGGACTTGCTTTGGTTCTAGATCAGGTCGTCTCCTTGAGTAGACCTGCAATGGCACTTTGGGAGTTTGGCTTCCTAGTTTTTCATTAATGTCAGAATTTGAGGTGGGGAGAATGGATGATGCAGGTGCTAGTGGTTCTGCAATAGTGGTTGGTGGTAGGTCATGATTTTGTAACTGCTGACTGTGTATTTGTAGCTGCTGGTGTGATGATATTAGATTGGGCATGTCATCAGCAATATTGTCAAAGTTAAATAGGTTGTGCTTATCTTTTCTTAGATTCTTCCTCTGAAGAGAAGATGTCTCAAAATAGGATTGGTTTTCTGCAAATGTGATATCTCTGGTAACAAATAATCTTTTTGTGGGTGGATGGTAACACTTGTATTCTTTTTGTGTATTAGGATAACCAATAAAGATATACTTAAGTGCTCTAAGGTCAAGTTTTCTACGCTGGTGGTAGTGAATATGAACCATATGATATGCACCTAAAAATCTTTGGTGGTAATGTATGGATTAAATCAATATGAGGGAAAAAACCAGAGAGGACCTCAATGGGAGTTTTATTGTGGAGGACTCGAGATTTAACTCTATTGATTAGATAGGTGGCTGTGAACTGCTTTAGTTTCGAGTAAGTGATGGTTTTTTCTCTCCGCCACCCATTTTGTTGTGGTGTATTAGGACATGTGGATTCGTGTATGATTCCCTCAGTTTGTAGGG